CCAGCAGCCAAGCCCTAAACATGCACCTCCAATAGGTCCTGGCTGCTATTAGTCCGGAGAAGAAGCACAGTTCTGAGAGCAGCCACAGTTTTAGAAGTTTGATTTCAGAGTCCTTGTCACAGGAAGAATTCCCTGCAGCACCAACCAGAGTATAACTCTGTCATTGCAACCTCGCACGTACCAGGTCAGCATGGCAAACAAGGCAAACAAGACAAAGCACGGCAAAATATCCAGGCATCGGTAACAACCTGTGAGGCTGGAAAAAGCAATGTTTGTTCCTGACAAACGCCCCTCCCAACAGCCTCCTTTAAATCTCATTCCCTGGGTGAGTCTTGTGAAAAGGGGTGGGACACCCCTCCTCCTGAGTCATTGGGTTGCCCTGCGCTGATCCTGCCTTCTTTCATTCTTTGTGCTTGGAGATCACGGGGAGGTAATTGCTCCTCACCAGAGCTCTGCAGCTCCTCGGCCCCATTGGCTGCCCTGTCCTCCTTCCTCGCCTGGTCCTCCTGCACTCCCCCCTCTCGTTGGTGACCCTTCCCAGGCCAGAGGGACCCAGGACTGCCTCATCCTGCTCCTCCAGTCATTCCTCCATTGGCCCTATCTCTGTCTCATCCTCCTGCTCAGACTCAGGCTCTGACGGGGCCATGACACTTGCCCTGTCAATGTTGGTGGGAGTGTTCTTGGTTGGGGTATTGTTTACTTCTTGATTGTGGATCTGATATTAATCCTGGTATTAATATCTGCTTAGCTGGTTGTTAATTGCTAGTGAGGAAGTGTTTGGTCTTTTTACAGTAGTTATATGCTCTAATTTTGGATAGTGCATGAATTGTATAAATTCCCAATTCAGCTCTAACTGCAGCAGCAGATGTTGTTATATCTACACCCAAAATACATCTCAAGTGTTGGGACTGTGTTTGTTCTAGTACTGTAGTTGAGCATAGACCCCAAACCTCTGTTCCATACATAGGGGTAACCTTAGCTTTATATACTTTAATTAATGGGGCTAGGGGCCCTGGGTAACTATGATTCTTTAATTTAAGCAGTAAATTCAAACAAGCTTTTTCTCTAAGTGATGATGTTGGCAAGCCCAAGCTCCAATCCTGGAAAAAGTTATGCCTAAATATACAAACCTATTCAATTGGTTCATATCTAATTGCCACCTATTAGGGCAATAATAGACCAATTCAGCTTCCATATTCATACACTGGGTTTTAAAAACATACCTTTGACCTCCACTTTAGCTTGTTGGAGATCTTCCTCTTTTTCCTCTTCAATTATACATTCTAATTGTGTTTCAGGCAGCACATTCTCAGTTTTAGTAATCCACTCCTTTAAAAAAAAATCACCAACTGATTACCATGATTTCTTAAACGGTATCTTCCAGGCATGTTAACTGGTAATAAAAAGTAAAGTCTTCTTTGGAATTAATTCTAGTGATGCCCATGCTCATATTTATGTAGATGAAAGTGATTTGTCTTTCTTTGTCTTCTTCCAAGATAAATTTTTGACTTCTTGATTGAACTTATATTCTTTGTATGCCCTGTCTATCACTCAAGGTCTAACCAGATTTGATTCAGGTTAGCTTTTTTAGACGAGTCAAGATCAACAAGGTGCTGTTACTACATGAAATAAACAGATAGCACAGCCTTCCCTAATCTTTGATCATTTTTGTATGTATGTATGTATTTTTATCCTGCCTTTATAAATAACTTAAGGTTACAAACATGTTCCTTTCTCCTTTTATTTTCCCCACAAGAATAACCAGGGGTGGGATTCTACAGGTTCACACCTATTCGCTAGAACCAGTTGTTAACATTCTAAGAAGTTCGGAGAACCAGTTGTTAGAAGAAATTACTGGCCTAATCCTATAAGGAAGGCAGGAAGGAACATTCTGGTGTTGCTTACAGAAACTGCCTCTCCAATAACCCTTATTACATTCTTGGCAGGACTAGACTTCCTGTCTCTGGAACTTCTCTGGAGTTTTTCCCCCTCCTTTGCTGGTACTTTGCTTGTGTGGAGTGACCATTCAAAGTTACAATGGCACTGAAATTTTTTTTCACACTTACGACTATTGCAGCCTCCCCACAGTCACGAGAGGCCAGGTGAGGAGATGCGTGCCTCGATGTGAGTGATGTTGAGTTGGCCACGCCCAGCCAGTCACATGACCACCAAGCCATGCCCACCAACCAAGCCACACCCACAGAACTGGTTGTTAAAAAATTTGAATCCCACCCCTGAGAATAACCCTGTGAGGTGGGTTGGGTTGAGAGACAGTGACTTGCCCAAAATCACCTAGCTGGCTTTAGCATGTGACTACAATTCTTAACAATTATGAACATTGGACCTAAGGGCAGATAATGGGAATTATAGTCTAAAGTGTTTAGAATATTGACAGTTTTCTGGTATGGTAAAACCAATGAAATCTCCTTGGTCAGAGGAAATAGCAACAATTTGGAAAATGACATTTTAAATATGTCATATTTATATTAAATAAAATATTAATATTTTATATAATTATATTAAATTTAAAAACTGCTGCATTTATGGTACAGTTAAAAGTTTAACAGAAAGAAAAATATTAATCACTGTTAGAAATAAACTTTCAGAACATACATTATTCTGACTGATAGCACTGAAACACACACACTGATCTGGAATAGGTAAATTTTGGCTTCTTTCAATTTCTAATTTTTTGTAAATATGACCAAATATAGGTGCTTATAAATTCTTTTTATCATATTAAGAAATTTATGAGAAAAAATATATCAAATTTCCCTGACTTTTCCATGCTTTTGATCCCAGATTTGTTTTGCATATTTTATGTAACAATGATAGTTGCCCCTATGATGAGCAACATCGATACTAATTCTTAATACATGAATTCATGGGTTTATTCAAAGGGGTGGAGTGTTATTTCATATTGATAATGCCCTTTCCTGAACATAGTGATTCTTCCTGTCAATGACTGAATAGGAAAAGTAATGAATTAATTCAGTACCATAAAAGAGATGGTATATTTAGTTTTTAACATTTTAATATATATGTATATGATTGTTTTTATATGTGTATAGTTATATTGCATTATTATATGCTACCCAGAGTTGCCTAAGTGAGCTGGATGTCCATATAAATCTATTAATAAATGTTAAATAAAAATAAAAATTAATTTCTTGTCCACAACAGCTTGCAAATACTTTGTCCTTCCCATGCTGGTGCAACTGTTATGAAGCAGATTGGAGCAACAGCTGCATGCAATCTAGTAACTGAAGTGAAATGAATTCAGATCAAGCTATCCAAACAAAATAAAACAAAAATCTGTTCTGAATTAACTTGCTCTGTCTTATGATATCTGAGACCACTCTGATACATATCCTCTATTTTTTATCTATTGAGATATATCATTTGGCGCAGTATTGGTGCATCTGATTAAGAATATGGATAGCTTAAAAATTAGTACGTTTTGTGTGAGGTCACCAGGGCTAGAAAACAACTTGATGGCGCATCATCAATCAATTTAGTTTTATATATTTTTACATATTTTAATTCTATTTGTCATAAATTGTGATATTTGTTTTGGTTAGGTCATGGTTTTAATTGCTTTGCTTGGTATTATGAACCACCTAGAATGCTCCAAGAAAGGAACAATCTAGAAATAGTTGTGCAAATAAATAAATAATCTCTGGGCTTTGCAAGAGATGTGCAAAATAGCTTGGAGATATCTAATGAATCAAGTTCAAATACACTTGTGAAAAGTTAGTTGTCAGGGGAATCAAAAATTAGGAAGATGAATGCAACATTCCACGATAACTCACCTGGAAGTTTCCATTATGATCCCTGAACAAATCAGAATTTTTAGGGTCTGGTATTACTGGCATTAGAGTTTTTCTAATTCTGTAACCATTTAAAAGATAAGGATTGATTAAGAAAAATGAATAGAGAAAATGTGAGCAATATATTCCAAAAATAGACTTTTTCTGATAAATTTCCAAATATTAACATTTATCTACCCTTTCCTGCATAAATTCTTTTTTTAATTTAAAAACACCTACATATATTTCTACAGTTTTACAGTAAGAAGAAAAGGAAGTACAACTTTCAGCTGAAAAAGTGAAAACATGAAAAAGTCTAAAGCTAGTAATTTTAATAATATTTGGAATATCTAGCCATTCACTGAATAATTTAAAGATCTGGGACAGAATTGGTTTATAAGTTCACAATTGATGTTGCTAGCGTAGCTGTGCAATCATATCTGAAACTGAACAGGAGATAAATGAATTTCTATAAATGAATTAATCTCTTTACAAATACTTCATCATAATAAGCATGCTACTATAGAAAATTGCAACATGTTTACTATGATAAAGTACTGTATTACCAATAAAAGAGACAATATTCCACTGATAATCTAAATAGAGATTATCTATTTTCAATTCTTCAGTTTACTTTAAAGGAAAAAGTTTTATCTGAATTTAAAAGTATGACAATAAAACTTCTCTATATGTTATTCTTGTTTAAAACAAACTTATCTTTCACTTCTGTTTTAGTTCTTTGGAACTTTAAACTTCCATCTACCACTGGAAGCTGAACCAGTGGTGGTTATAATGAAGTATTTTAATTTTATTCAGTGAGAATGAACAAAAGTCACAGCAGGTACTGATTAGCTACAAGAATTTGTATAAATTCCCTGCTTTTGTCAGTACATAAATTGTGAACAAATTTGTCTACTTGATTTGCAAATATTATAGGGCTTTCTTTGAACTTTCTCTAGATGTCTCCCTTCCTCCCCCCCTTTCCCCCATTTTTTGCTGATGGATTTTTTTCCAACCAACTTCCTCTTTTTGCACTGTGTTGAAAATAATTCCTCTTTCAATAATCACTTTATTTCATCTTTTTTTTAAAAAACTGGCCTAATTCACAGTTTGTAACCTAATATGAATATTGGGACATGGTTATCCTTCAAACATTTCTCAATCCAAAATATGTATAATACAATGGGTATCTTAGTGGAATAATGCATTCAGTTTAAAAGTGACATTTCATGCAAAAGGGAGATTCGAGACAGTACAACATACCAGAATCAATAAGAACTTTGCTCCAAATTTATCTCTATAACTGCTTAGGTTTTATAATCATAATAAAAGTCATTGTTACAGTAATTCACAAAGAGTTATAAAAATAAGCATCACATACTTCTTCAGCCTGCAGATATAAAGCAGAATGGCTGTCATGATTAGGAGGCCAGCCATCACCAAACTTGACGGGAGAACAATATTTAAATCTGGATTGAAGTCATCAGCTTCACAGGAATCTTAGAGAAATCACACACAGATGCAGACATGGGCACACACAGACAAAAAATTGAAAGTATTCTTTAAGGGATTAACAAAAGAAATATCAGTTCTACTTAGGTGTATGTTTTGCAGGTATTGTCTTCTAAAAAGGAATAAAGCCTGAAAAGGCTTTGTGGAAGATCTTCAATATATACCAGTCTTAATATTGTCATGATAAAGTTTCATGATAATACATTTTTTTATTTCACTAGAAATATTCTGATAAAGATACCTGATAGAAAAGCCACCTGAGGTGACCTTAATGATGCCTCAACACATTTAGAATAGGCAAAAATAAGACCTCAACCTGAAAGCATTTGCTCTTTGTTAATGTGTGGGTTGTTTTTTCCCCAAATAACATGAGTATATACTCAACTGCATTTTATTACCAGCTTGCAGTTGGGTACTGAGACTTTCAAAATGATTTTCCAAACTAAGAACCAAAGGCAGCTCATTATAGAATATGGGTCAAAGTAAATCTTACATATGTTTCTGTAATTAATTTTGTAAAAAGAAAGAGAGATCCGCCCTCTTTCTCTCTGGAGTAAGGCCCTCTGCCATTCAGAAAAGTCAGTTTAGACGGAATAAGTAAGGAGTCTAAGGAGCAGCAGATATGCAGCCTATCTACAGAATTTGTAATACATTTCAATTGCCTAGCCAGTCCAGATTGGCAATCACATGAATTGAAAGCTTGAAGAAAGAGATGGAGACCCTAAAAAGATACAAGCAACATTCTCTCCCTAACCCTTAAATCTATTTTAATATTGCGAAGGTATTACATTGGAAGAGACTAGCTGTCATGCCCCTGCCAGAGTCTGAATCCGAGGAGAAAGACGAACAGCTGACAGGGAGTGGGAGTGTGGCTCTGTTGGCTGTGGAGGAAACTGGTGAAGGGCAAAGTCTGGCTGGGCAGAGCAGGGAAGAGGTAGAACAAGGGAGTGGAAGTTTAGAGGAAGACACAGGCCCAACACCTCTTCATCCTAGGGCATGCAGGGACAAATGAGAAGAGAGCAATGTGGGTTGCAAGGCTTATGGGAGAGAAAAGGGCCCTGATTCCATTCATTAGGCACACCTGGGAAGGGAGTTTAAAAGAGATGCAAGCTGAGAGCGGCATTTTCTGGGAACAAACATGAGTTTATCTTGTGTTGACTGTGGTTATTTGAATTCCTGGAATCCTCCCAACTGGGTTGATTTACTGTCGTTCTTCACATCTGGAATTCCTTCTCTTGCTTTGCCAGATTAATTACCTCATCTTGCCTTGATTGGACTTATAGTTAAAGTTTTTGTTGACAATGTTTTGGACTTGAATCTCTGCAGCCAAAAGCTGTTCCTGGGAGAGTTTTTCTCCAGACCAGAAGGTAACCAGGACATTGGGGGCAAAGTTGGAGCTAATAAAGGGACTCTTACTTATTATTTGACTGTATTGCCTTTGTGCCATATCCTGGGTCATTACACTAGCTTCTCCCCTTTCCCTGCCTTGCTCTTATATACTCGCTCAGCCCTCTAATCCCGAAGTCTCCAAACTTGGCAATTTTAAGACTTATGGACTTCAATTCCCAGAATTTCCCAGCCAGCCATGGGAATTAAAGTCCACAAGCCTTAAAGTTGCCAAACTTGGTGACCCCTGCTCTAATTCACAGTTAAATCAGAGATGAATAAGATTTTATTCTGGATTGTTCTGACATGAATAGACCTGGGAAAGAGGCAGAAGAGAGTTATTCTCCTATCTAAGAGCACACTATCTGGGACATCCTGATTCTCTACTGGGTTAACTGGTGAGTCACGTATTATTATTATTATTATTATTATTATTATTATTATTATTATTATTA